TTTGTACCTGCCAAGCGCCGCAGGCAATGGGCATTGGCGTCTGCCTGCCTCTGAACATTTCAGGCCTCTGTACCAAGAGACGGAGGCAGCTGTGAGCCGCCGGCAGGCAAACGTGCGGTGTTTGGCGGGGGACGTGTTTCCTGCGGGGGTCGCTGGGCCAGCCCGCCGGCTCTCCTTGGCCTTTGGCCTCGCTCCTTCCTCGGCAGCTGCCTTTGCGCTCTCGTCTCGCAGGGTCGCTGCTGGAGCAGCACTGGACATGGGCTCTGTCCCCACGCGGAAGCAGGCACCGGTAGGAGGGAAGGCGCCTCAACGCATCCACGGGGCTCTCTGCTGACCCCACTGGGCTCGGTCCAGGAGAAAGGAGAGCCCAGCTGGCTCAGAGCCGCCTTTGCTCCCCTCCCCCATCCCTGGGCTCAGGGCAGGCATGGAGGAGCTGAGAACGGGCCCCGGACCCCTTCCCAGAATCACTGGAACCGGTTTGGATTCTCTTGCTTTGTGCGGGTTTTACGTTTCTAAAGCGCTCGGCTCACACCCTCCTGCCGCCACCTCCTCTGGCTTCCTCCTTGCTTTCTTCTGCGGCTCTCCCGCTTGCGGGTCGCTGTTTTCTGCTGCTTTCAGCCCGTCAGTCCGGGGCTGAGAACGGGCCCCGGACCCCTTCCCAGAATCACTGGAACCGGTTTGGATTCTCTTGCTTTGTGCGGGTTTTACGTTTCTAAAGCGCTCGGCTCACACCCTCCTGCCGCCACCTCCTCTGGCTTCCTCCTTGCTTTCTTCTGCGGCTCTCCCGCTTGCGGGTCGCTGTTTTCTGCTGCTTTCAGCCCGTCAGTCCGGGGGCAGGTGCCCTTTTTGTTGTGAGGGATCGCAGTCGCCCCCACGTCTCCATCTCCGGCGCCTCGCCGGGGCTTCGCGCTTGTTTCCCGCATTTCCCTGGCCGGGTGCCTCTCGGCAACTGTCCTTTACCTCGTCTGGCACGCTGGAGAGCTCTTCAGACCTTGGGCCATTTCAAGGCGCTTGCCTGGAGCAGCCCCCGGGGAGGGGTTACCTGGCCCAGGGCAGCGCGGAGGCCTGTGCTTCCCGCTCGTGGTCCCTACAGCTGTCCTGGCTCCACTACAAACCGGTCCGTCTGTCCCCCAGCTCTGGGGCCGGCTGGGATGCCAGTGTCTGAGAACTGGGGAGGGGCTGCGACCTAGTGGCCAGATGAATGTATGACGCAGGGACTCCAGACCCA